AAAAAAAAATCGGTAACGCTTTAGATTACAACCCGCAATGTACTGCGTAAGTAAACAGAATTGACAGCGTAACTTTGTTGTAATTACAGTGTACCTATTCAGTACCTCCGTGTAGGTATAAGGTAACAATATGCGAAGTTTGGAGAATAAAGGAGTAATATACTGTAAAATTACAAATTATTTCTACTGTAAGTATTTTGAAACTAAGGGGTACCTATTCTAATATTACAGGGTATGTATGACCTCTTATATTTGCAAGCGATTAAGCAAAAACATACACTGTACTTTTTTATAGCCTACACACGTAAAACACACTGGTAATTGTTTCAATCCAAACCCTTGGTTGAGACTGTTGGGTTAGGAAGCTGGCTTGATGTGACCCAATTTGGGTTGATATCAGTAATAAGTAACCCAACGTTGCTGGGTTATGAATGTGGAGGACGTGGATGAGAGCATGCAGCAAGTCACGTGAGTTCAAACGTGAACGGTTCTGTGTGCGGCGAAATCCGTGACAGCGGTGCTTAAGACGGGAACATGTGTGGAAAATAGGAGAAAACGAATCGAAGCGCAGACAAGGGACACCTTTGAAACGGTCTGGAGTGTGTTCTTTAAAACTGCAGCAGTGTGTGGTGAGCATGAGACGAGTCTATCCGTGTTTGCGGCACTCATGACAGGAGTATGAGTAGAAAATACAAGAAAACTAATCGACACGAAGAGGAGAGAGATTTTTGAAACTGACTGGAATGTGTTCTTTTAAAACTGGAGGGTTTTGTCCGAGTATGTTCTCACAACATTGAGCAGAGACTGATGAGCGGTAAAACCGGGAACTGAAATATGTTAGTCAAAATGGTGCTTGAGGACGTGGATCAAAACGGTAAATCAAAGACAGTAAAATCCAGTCAGTTCGCTATAATACACCGTTTAATCTGGACTTTCAGTGTTTATTACTGTGTTTATTGGTGTGATGGTTTGGCCATACTAGTTTAACTAGTCATTACTAGTTAATCAACTAGTCATTAAGTCAGTGGGTGAAAAACATGAACAAATTGAACAAAATCTATCCTTAAACAAGCTTTTCAAAAGAATTTGGTTTAACTGTATAATCTGTATAAGTATGGAGTTGCTTTGCTTTTTTTCTTAACTGGTGTAATACATTTTAATCTTTTATTAGGCTATCTGTTGCCTGTGTTGTTACTGTTGTCATATTGTGTGTGATTTTAATTTTAAAACCCATTTTGGGTTAATTTAACCCAGCAGTAGGCCTATAGTAAATTGCAAACAATATTTGAATTAAATAAAACAGTCCACCATGTTTATTGATACATTACCTGATATATAATGCATGTATGTATGACTTAATGTATAAACAATGTTTCAGAGCAATTTGTTGTTGCCACTTACCCTGTAACTACATGGAACAAGGGGGGAACAAAGCACCACTTTAATTTACTGCCCGCAAATGTTGTATTTACCCTGTAACTACATGGAACAAGGGGGGAACAAAGCAACACTTTAATTTACAGCCCGCAAATGTTGTATTTACCCTGTAACTACATGGAACAAGGGGGGAACACAGCACCCCTTTAATTTACAGCCCGCAAATGTTGTATTTACCCTGTAACTACATGGAACAAGGGAGGAACAAAGCACCACTTTAATTTACAGCCCGCAAATGTTGTATTTACCATGTAACTGCATCCCTCTACATTTTTTTGCTATAAAAACACCACAGTATACAGCCACTGAAATACAAATATTGTATCATGTATTTTTTCCTGCTAACAGCTGGAAAGAGGTAAACTTGTTTTAAGCTGCATTGAACCTTGATGGTATATCATGCAAAGTTATTTGGTGATAGTGGTGTTGAGAATTTGCTGGTGTGAAGTTGCTAAAATCGACGAATAAGCTTTCATAAGGTAAGTAGATTTGTGAATTATAAATCATAGCAGAAACCCAGTTTTGTTGTTCAGTAATCTCCATCATGTCCGTCCTTTTATAATAGAATGTGTACCCCATGGTTAAAAAATACCTATACGCCTATAATAAAATACCAATATAAAATTATAAAAAGTATATATCGTCTTTCTAAATCATTCCCAAACATAAGATTGTTGTTTAGGCCATACATACCACGTAATATTAGAATAAGCACCGCTTAGTTTCAAAATACTTACAGTATAAATGATTTGTAATTTTACAGGTTGTTACCCCTTTATTCCCCAAACTTTGCATATTATTCCCTTATACTTACACGGAGGTACTGAATAGGTACACTATAATTACAAAAAAGTTACACTGTAACTTCAGTTTACTTACGCAGTTCTTTGCAGGTTGCATATCTGGTTGTTACCCCCTTATTACCCAAACGTAACACATTGTTCCCTTATACCTACACGTATGTTCTTTATAGGTACACTATAATTACAGAAATGTACACCGTAAATTCAGTATACTTACATAGTTCTTTGTGGGTTCTAAAGCGTTACCAAAAAATCCTCTACATTCTTGTTCGGACACCTGCACAGGGGCTGTGCAAAGTTCCGTATGACTCATGCCACTGGGCCTGAGATAAAGACACAGCTGAGAGAGGGTTTCTTAAAGGTATAGTTCACCCAAACATGAAAGTTTATTCACCCTCAGGCCATCTAAGATGTAGATGAGTTTGTTTCTTCATAAGAACAGATTTGGAGAAATGTATTGCATGACTTTCTCACCAATGGATCCTCTGCAGTGAATGGGTGCCGTCAGAATGAGAGTCCAAACAACTGATAAAAACATCACAATAATCCACGAGTAACCACACAAAACCAGTCCATCACTTAACATCTTGTGAAGTGATAAGTTGTGTGTTAATGAAGAAAATTAACACACACACACACACAAAGGATAACATACAAAAAATTGAAACACAGAAATTCTTAATGATATTTATGAATTAATCTGTATTATATAAATTGTGTTATGTTAAGTATTGTGTGTTAATTAGAGATGCACTTATATTTTCAAAGTGTAAGGAAAATATGTTTTTTTTTTTTATGGTCACATCATTGTACCTTTCCTTAAAAATGGTATAAACATTTTTTTTAAACCATATGAAACCAACATAAATACATAATTTGACTAAGAATGTAAACTAGATTTTTTCTTTCCTTCAGACACTCATGGACGTGCACCATTGACCCACCTGCTGCATTTTAATAAAGTTGGGCTTTGTTGTCAAAATCAAAGTGTCTTTATAAATGAATGACTTACGATCACGCTGTCAGTGTGAATGCGCCTTCACTGTTGGAAAATACCAGCCAGTGTGCAGGTGTTATGCAACTATAATTGTCTAAAAATGTACTGCTCAGTATAGAATTACAGCACATTTAGACCAGCGCAAATTAAACCTTTCTTCATGCCTCATCTGAAACCCTAACTGCGTTTTCTCCTTCGGGTTTAGGGATTCTCGCTTTTTAGCCAGGACTCAGAGATATGATGAGACGTGCAAGTGTCTCTGCTTCCTATTAACCCAGGCATTTCCTCGCTATAGTGCACAGCCGTTAAACATCCAGAGATAGTACAACGTGCTGGCTTCGTTTCACGCCTCTCCATTTTATTGTTGATGAATAGCTTGAGCAGATGGGCTCGTTATCTTTGAAGATTCCTGCACGGCCAGCATGATGAATTGGCACAGGACTGCAACACACACACAGACACACTGAAAACACACAAAACGCAACTCACGCAGATGGAACAGCATCTCTTCTAACCTTGAATTATCTACCGTTTAAAAACTCTGGTTCAGGCCCACTTCACTTTTCTCTGTCTTTCAGAGAAGCACCAAATCCAATGTCTTTATGCTTTGCACCATCTGTCCAAACCCTCGCACCAGGGCCTTTCATCTTTTTCCAGCTGTGCATGTGCACTGGATCTCCCATCTGATATGCACATTAGTTTACTGGCAAACTTTCTCACCACTATAACTGATCCAAAAACATCCAGAGACAGTGTTTGCTGGAATTCTCAGGTGTATGCTGAATGAAACTTTATGTACAAAAGGGTCCAGTAGTTTGGTAATTTTAATCAAATTATCAGTGAGAATTCATAGCTATGTCCCATAAAAACAATGTCACATGTGTTAATGCAGATTCAGTGCATTTACTATTTGTAAATTAGAGTTGTCGTTTCCCGTTATGGATTTGAAATATAACATTGTTATTGTATTGTTTTTCAAGTTCACTAACACTACTGATACCCTTCGAAGCGCAAAACTGTGTCTCTTTATGGCTCTTTATGGTCTCTTGACACTTCCAAGTTATTTGTAAAGCAAATGATTTACATTCGGCACACTGACAGATAAATCATATGTGAAACCATGTCAAGAGCTCTTCTCAGAATAGAAAGCCAAAATACCTGAGTCAAATGCCATTTGGGTTAAAGAGGACAAAATGTGGGATCACCTATTTGAATTATGTTTATCAGCAATGTGGCTTCAAGTTTGGCTTTCATGTCAATATTACATTAAATAAAGCCCTATTAATGTTGTCACTATAAGGTTACTTTTTAATCGATGCCTATTTGTCAAGGAATTTGGCAAGGCATGAAATAAAAAGCTTTATGTTACTAAGAAACAGTATTTTGCAAATTAAATATTTTAGCTTTTCTGTGTCAAAAACAATATGTGGACTGTAATAAATAAATAAATAAATAAATAAAAGCAGAGCGTCGATTGTTTATTTCATATTTTATATTTTTACATTCTAAGTGTATATATTATATTATATATTATAGAATAATATAATATAATATTGTATTGTATTATAAAACAGACATGAACATTGTCCCTTTAAGACGCGATGAGAGTGAAAGGAGGCGTCGCCGTTTCGCACTCTGGGTGGGAAATATGGGCGGGGCTAATTGGGCTCTGGCACTTCCAAAATCGTGGCGCCCGAGCGCTCCAAATCAGCCAATGAGATCCAGAGTTTGGCCGTCAAACATTCTCCAAGCACCAATCGGAAAGCAAAATGAGAGAATCTTTATCACTCCTTGTGTATCCAACGTGGGACGAAAGAACGACCGTCTGTTTAAAAAGAAAGTAAAGTCCGGGAGGGTGAAAAACAAGCGGTGGAAACGGTCAGAAGTGCGAGGTGAATTTGTGAATTATCGGAGTTTTCAAGATAAAAGCTTCCCGGTTCCTTTAACCGCGCGCAGGGTCAGTAAAGAGAGAGCGAGAGAGAGACGCAAAGTTCATAACAGTCGGACGTCTTTACTGGAACCTTTGGCTTCAAAAGTGCTTTATCACAATCCACTCGAGTGATCCAAACTCCTGCATTCGCAGTCGGAAAAGCGAAGAAGCGAGAGCCTCAAACTTTTTTTTTTTTTTTTAAAGAGTGCGGTTTTTCCTGAGGTAAAGTTTCTTCAAAGCGCCGACGATCGCAGATTTTCTTTCAACACACTCGTATGGAGTTAATGGACACGATCTACTATGGTTTTACTTTTCAGAATAGCGAATCACTTGGGATCAAAACATTATAAGAACTTCAGAAACATCGACGATTTAAAGTCCTCAAACTACATTTGATCCAGTCGATCTCTCTTGCCAAAACAAAGCGCCTGTCTATCTCCCATCCAGACCCTCTTTTCAACCTTTTAAGGACAACTGCATTTAGTTTTGGCTTCTGGACAAGTTTCTTGTATTGCCTCGTCGTGATTCACCTTTGATTTAAGTTAGCGGGGGAGATAACATTTGACTGTGGACCGTTTTCAAGTCCAGGACTGATGTATTGGCCCAGAACAACCCGGTGTGATTTCACATTACCGCTGGGTAAACAAACAACTTAATGAAGGCGAATTACTCGGACTCTGGGAAACTCAATAAGCTCGAGCTGTCCGTTTGTGGATGAGAGAGAGACCAGTCGTTAAGCGCTGAGACAACTGGATACAAAATGGCGGCGTGGCTGGGACAGATGGGATCACTTTCATATCGTGTGTTTTATTGGTTTTTGACGCTGGAACTGATCATCAATTACGGCGCACCGTGTCCTCAAAACTGTACGTGTACGCTTGATACGTCCGACTGCAGTCATTTAGACATTACTGATGTCCCTCAAGACTTGCCTAAGAGCACTGTCCATCTGTAAGTACACAAAACTGGCCAGCCCGAGCAAAATGTCAATTTAAAACATCATTCTCTTCAAAACAACACGCTTTAGGTTCTTTAACACCCTGAACTGACGTTGTCCAGGGAAGAAAATGACTCAAAAGACACAGAATAACAAACGACAAGTGTCACGTCCTATATAGTGCCCTGCACTTATTTAATATTACTTATAAGTACTGACAAAAGTTTCTATGTCCATTAAAATCATAAAATGGGATTGGTTATAAGTAGTCTCGGGTCTCTTTGTGACCTACCAGGTTATGACATGCTAGTTACTATCATAAGTTTGGAAACTTCTTCAGTTTTTGAGGCCTGCTGATATGAGTCAGTCATATGCAGGAAGGTAATTTTGGTCCTTAAAATCCCGTTTTTATGAATATTTTTAGACTAGAGTGCTAAAAAACAAGGTATAAAGCTTATAGTAATTCTAAAATCTCTTCATTGTTGTGTTCAGTGTTTATTTTATGTTGAAAGGTATTTTATGAAGCATTCTACAGCTCTGACAGGCGTCACCTTCAGTTATACTGTTCCACAGGAACTTTTCATAAACTCTGCCATTTAGTGCTGTTGCAATAATAATGCAGTGTAATGTGTTTTTGACATTATATTTGGTCTGGTTTATAGATTATGACTTCAAATGTGTTATTTTCTTCATAAGAGCACTATACTAAGATGGTAGATCTAGTTAGTCTCGTAATAAAGACAGAACAGTGGCAGTTGCTGTTTTTTACGGTTATCTGACATTGTATGAACTCCCAGATATATTTGTAAGATTGTTTCTTGAAAACATCACACAGCCATTTTAATAATCTTATTTCCTTAACTTTTTTTTCCTCAAGCATGGCATCACTTTTAAAGATGTCTTTTTGGGCGATAGGTTTTGATGTGATGTATCTCTGTGGCCTAGACAAAGTTTCTAAAGTGTTATCTGCCTGTGTGTTCAAGATAACAATCATATCATTTTCAAAGGGAACGATTTTACTGCCCAGTATTATCTTTAACACCTTTACTGCATGATTCATCACTGCAAAGATACCTGTTTTGTCTGTCGATTTCAGAAAGGCAGCTCTCTTACTGTTCTTGTCAGGTTTAAAAGATGGTTATCGCACACAAGTTTCAACACGGAAACATCAATTGAAGACATAAGCTATCTGTTTTGCATTTTGTATGATCCGATTTGTCAAAATTATAGTCAGACCTAGTGCGTTACATACATCATTTGGCTTTATTTGAAATATATGAAGACAGAAACACTTTTTGAAGACAAGAAGCTTATTAGCTGTAACCGAGGGTGGTTGACATAATCATTCTTTGTCTGATAGGATGGCGAAACATTCATTACACATGATATCAGGCTTTAGATGGGAATGCTTGGCCAGGTAGCTCTGTTGATGTTCTGCCTCAAGGACTGTCTAACCTACTGCTGAGTAATCTGACCTGGTCTGCCTGAGTGCTTTAGTCTGTGGCCCTTGGATATATCATTTAAATGCATATAGTGATTTTGGTGGGAAGCTAATGTGACGTATTTCAGAGCAAAACAGGATAAATCTGGGAGCTTGGACTTGATTTATCGTTATTGGATTGGATGGTGAAAAGTGGTCTCTATATGACAGGTGGTTGGAGAGAAGAGGTTTAAATAAGAGGGCTTGTTGACATCAGCGAAAATGGAAAGTTAGAATACATTTTGAACAATAAGTATATTAAGAAACTAAACCGGGACAGATTCTATTTCATGTTGACTTTATTGTTGCTTCAGCTACCGGTCACAGATTAAGCACAAAGTATCAATAAATAATTGATTTATTCCATATTACACTGTTGAATTAGTATATTAAACCATTTAAAGTGTTGTTTCAGACTAGTATTAGAAGAGGTTAAATAGCTTTGACAGAACAACAGCGCTTTTATTGGTAGGCCTCAACTGCCCAACAGGTGATATACATTTCCTTTTGACTTTCCTTATATAAAGCGTGGCTGCTTTTAATATTCAAACCTCATTGACAACAACAGCAGTAACCCAAACCAACTGGCTTGTGTTGTTGTTAACCAGTGGCTCTTTGTCTCTTAAAACCTTAAGGCAACTGTGGTCTGTCATAAATGCTGATTATTTATTCTCATTAATCCCTACAACTATCTCTATTCACATGTCACTATTCATCTTCAGCGCCTTTGTACGCCTCTGTGGCAATTCAAAAGCAGTTAAGATGCTTGTGCTTGTGACATCCAAACCTGTTGCTTGCGTAACCACGCAGCACAAACTTGCCCAAGGAGCGTCAAACTGCATTTTAGCATTTCCATGAACTGAAAGGCACGTTCCAGCATCTTAACGTCTCTTTATTGTCTGCTTTCATGTTGACGGATCCAACAGAAGCTGGATTTTAAAGTTATAGGCAAGAGATATTTTTTGGGTTGTCCTTCTGCAATATATCAATCAAGAGTAGAAAAAGCTTTGGTTGGAAAAAACCCTGTGGACATGGCCTAAGTATAAAATCAAGCCTTAATACCTTCCAGTTGTCCAAATAGTTTCTCCATACTGGCCATTTTTTCTTTCTTTCATTTAATGGTTCCCCCGTGGCTCGCAGATACCTTGATGGTGAGTAGGAAGCACTGAGGTGTCGGCATCGCCAACTCGCACATGGCCCTTTGTGGATTTAAGTTAACTTTGAGATATGGGCTTTAAGACTCCATTAAGATAAAGACTGATGGAGTTATTCATGGTTGAGGGTTAAATAGTTCACTCAAAAATGAAAATTCTGTCATCATTTACTGACCATTTCAAACCTGTTGTTCTTTCTTTTGCGGAACACAAGAAGATATTTTGAAGAATGTTGGTAACCAAAGAGTTTTGGTGACCATTGACTTATGTATGGACACTTGAGACATTTATCAAAATATCTTATTTTATGTTCCACAGAAGAAAGTAAGTCATACAGTTTTGGAAATATATGAGGTTGAATAAATGATGTCAATTTTCATTTTTGGGTGAACTGTCCCTTTAACCTGAGTGCGGAGGAGACGGTCGAATTAACTGATGAATGTTATGAGTAATCTTATTGGCTTCACCGTTGCATGACACAGTCCTCCAAACTCTTCATCCTCAAATTTGAAAAAGTTGTCTGAATTCCTTGTGAATTAAATTATTTTCTTTTAAAATGGTTTCCTGCATCTGATCCATCTGAAGTAAAGAAATGGCAAAAAAAAGCAATTTTGGTTTTGATTATGGAAATTTATGTCTGTCTTTGGCGTCTTACATTCATCAGGACTGACCCTTACAAAAAAAAATTCTGAATAAATGAGATCCGTTTTTGATTAAATAGCTATTTGATTTTGTTTGTGTATTCAGTGTGCTGTGAAGACCAAGGTGATGGAAACAGTTTGGCTTGATATAACGAGCTGTATGAGTCTTACTTCTCAAAGTAAACTACAACGACCCTTTGGTGGCCCTCCTGATTGTTTTGAAAGCAGAGGGGGTGGTGGTTGGTTTGTGTGTGCGACCTGGGTTGCCACATGTGTGATTGTAGTTTGGCCACTCTTTAGGTTTGGTAAACAGCCTGCCAGATTTTTCTCACCACCACGAAGGGAGTTTGATGTGTTTTTTTTAAGCATTGTGGGGGACGTTCTTTTCTTTACAGTCCCTGTCACCTGTTGAGGAGCCGCTGTGTAAACCTGAATGTTAAGGGTGCGGTGCTTCTTTGGCCAGGCTACAAGAGGTAGTTCAGTGTCACGGTCCGTTGCTTTCCATTGACGAAACTTCTAGCCTAGATCTTGATCTGCTTCTCCGACCCATTGTTTATTCTTTCAACGTGTGGAAACAAGTCAGCATTATCAGGGATCGACATTAAGCCTTGACATGTGCTTGTCCTTTGGCCATTCACTTGTCCAAGTTTTTTTCTTGGCATGTAAATTAATTTTTTTTCTGAAGCAATATTCTCATCAATGTTCTGTCAGCTCTTACTTTATTTGCCCCCTTAAATTGATTTCCAGGGCATTTTTTTCCTTTATATAAATGTCAATTTTTTTTATAACCTTATTAAATGTATGTCAATATTCATTCTTTAATTTTACTAAGAAATTCAGTTAGAATAATAGGACACTAAAGGGCTCTTACCAATGAAATTAAATGAGTATCAACAAAATGAACATGAACATGATGCAGGGCAACAACTCACTGTGTGATGTAGCCTATAGAAAGCAGTTATATACCCCTAAAAAAATTCAGAATATTGGGGAAAAACGCCCCTGTATGAGTTTTTGTCTCATATTTATATGATATGATACAGTTAAGCAACATCACACGAGCAATGAGTGCAGTATCACGAGTGCTGTTTTTTTCCCAAATAGCACGAGTGTAAATGTGATACTGATTTTATACAACAGTTCAATAAATAAGAACTTAATATTGTGTTATATTTTAGACACACAATTTTTCAGTTTTGCCAACGCAAATATTACCAATTAAATCCATAGCAGAACTGTTGTGCATCTCCGAGCAACACACAATTTCTTAATGAATCTGTGTTTTGAACGAATCGGGTGAACCAATGATTCAGTGGCTCATTCATAAAGAGAGCCATTTACTTCATTCATGAATCAATCAGAGTTTGAAGAATCAAATGAATGAATGACTCATTCATGGCTTATTAGTTAAGACATTTAGTGCCACCTACAGGCAGTTTTAAGATAGTTCACCCAAAAATTGTAAATTAAATTTCAAAAAAGAAAACGAAAAAAAGCTACGTTTTGTAATATCTATTTCATACTTTTCTCATATAATACAATAATGGCTTTAAATTATCTTTTGTGGGTAATATATCAGCCAGATTTGATGTGTGATTAATATATGATTAATTAAATTAATTCACCCTTCCAAATTAGATAAAAAATTTTAATCGATTGACAGCCCTTATATATACACACACACACACACACACACACACACACACATACATATATATATATATATACATGAAATGTTG